ACTCACATGTAAAAACAAAACCAAAAAAAAATATATAAAAATAAAAACCCAAGCTTACAACAAATAGCTTATTAAAAGAATATAACAAAAAAAGTGTTGACTGTGAAAAATATTTTTTAAATAAATAAAATTCGAACCGGATTTCGGCAGGTATACCCACTATAGTCCATTGTAGTGGTTACGAAGCCAGGAGTAAGCCAGTAATAGCACAATCCATTTTGCAACAGAGTGTCCCCCAGTGTCAAGTGACGACATCCAGCGGCTGCAGAGCTGCTCAAGATAGAAGTCGAGCCAGCCGGCCATTACTTTCATTTCAAAGTGTAAATCAGACGCCATGCACCATGACCACTTCAAAACATTGAAATGGTCATGGTGGTTGGAGTAACCCTTTAAGCATACTGAATGCCTTCTGTGCTGTATACACTGCCATATTCTTACCATTTCCTATAACCTGTAACAAATTACATTTCTTTACATCAGGCTCTTATTGGGGCACTCAAAGCATTCTAATCACTACAGTATGCTGTAGCAGTTATAGAGGCAAAAATACACTGGTACCATCCATTTTTTAATGGACACAATAGGCACCCAGAACACTTCAGCTCATTGAAGTGGTCTGGGTGCACTGTCCCTGCCCCCCTTAGTCCAGCAATGTAAAACATCAAATTTTCTGACAAAACTGCAATGTTTAGTTTGCCGTACTGAGACAGCCACTAGAAGCAGTTCCAGAAGTTTACCGGGCTCTGGGTCCCCTAAATGACACTGGACGTCCTCACGCTGTGCAGGAGGACATTCAGCGTCAGTGAAATCTGCATAGGAAAGCATTGATTCAATGCTTTCCTATGGGGATGGCCTAATGCGGTCGTGGCACGCATGTGGTATCCCCTATTGGATGATGCCGGAGGAGGTGGGACATCAGTGCTGGAATTGGGTGAGTAAATAAAGTTTTTTTTAACCCTTTATCTGCAGCAAGGAGGGCCAAGAGGGAGGGGGGCTCAGAGGGCACAATAGTGTTAGGAATACAACTATGAATTCCTAATAGAATCCTGTTAAGTCAAACCAATTTTGAACAGTAGGGCCTCAATTTAATACCATCTGAATAAATTAAAATGTTGGGCTAAACTTTTAAAATTACTTTTTTTCCCACATAAAACATCCACAAAATATATCATATATATATATCAACAAATCAAAAAATATAAAAATTATTTATAATGGCAATATTTTTTGATAATATTAAATCATTTAAAAAGTTTATCCAAAAATATTAAATAAATTGGAACGCTTACCCGACAATATTAAATTGAAGTCTTGCATTCGTCTGTCAGGCACCCGGCATCCGCCCCTCTTCACAGATATTGCTAAAGCAGAAGTTCCTCTTACGTTTCAACAATATCAAGTTTGTCCAACTTTGGATCAAATTCATTGGCTGAGGAGTGCCACATGAGAATCTCAGCCAAACAGAGACAGAATTTATATCGCTAATTTGGATTCCTGTGGTTGGAATGTGGACACACAGGTAAGTATCAAACTATTTGAACAGTGAGACACTGCCAGGAGGCTCCAGGCACCATAGGCACTAGAGTGCGCCAAAGAGCGTACACAGCTTAGATTGCCTCTTTATAGTCAGATTTCAACCTCACAGGTGGTGGCTAATTTGTGAAAAATCTGATTATGTCGTAAGTCTAATAACAATTTACATTTTTATTTATGAATTCATATACTTATTACATTTTTTGGTAGATGACTATTCAAACCAAAAATAATTCTAGATGATTATATTTTAGCAACTGCTCATTTTTATCATTACACAAAAGTTAGAAAGACTTTTAATCATCCAACTTTTATATACATATATAGATGTCAACATAGAGTATTGCAGTACGTAATGATACCTTTTTTATTGGATTAACATAATATTTAAAAGACAAGCTTTCAAGAGTTTTCCTCTCTTCCTTAGGTCTGAAGCAATGCTAATCAATCTTCAACAGTGAAAATAACTGATGTTTTAATAAACATACATATATATAAATGCATACAAACAAATAGATTGCCACTGTCACGGGATTAGGGATTCCAATTTGCATTGATCCCTTGTGGGAATGAAAGGGTTAGTCTAGATGACAGAGTGGAAAGGGAGCCTGAAACAGAAAAGAATTTGCAACACAAGGCAGACAATCCATCAATTTTGCAATGTAATGAGAAGCTAAAAGAGAGAAACTAACGCTCCTCTCGCCAGCTTTTAATTCCAGACGGGGGCACAGAACAGAATTAAAAAAAGAAAAAGAAAAAAAAAAACAGCAGAGGGTCATTTAAAGATCACTGGGCGTTAATATCTTCAGCTTGCAAAAAAAAAAAAAAAAAATGGGCTTCAAATGCACTTATAAATAATATATTGCTAAGAATATATTGAAAATACAATAGGCGCTGGCACCTCATTACAAATATAAGAAATATTAATTTGAATTATTACTATTTATGAATCTATCTACAGAATAAAATGTACATGTCTAGTAGGTAAAATACAACATCCGTTCAGGATCATAAATAATTTATCTTTCAATATTTTGATTAAAACCTGTTTTAAGAAAAGAAAAAAATAGCGTCAGTTTCTGCAGTAAACAGTAACAGTGCCTGCAAGATGTATGCTATAGTATACACCATAAGTGTCACTATTTTTTTTAAATCTATATATGGCCTTTTTATACTGACTGGCACTAGGGTTTCCCTACAAATATCATTGTGGATTCCGCTGGTATCTAACAAGTTAACTACCGTATTTCATCATCAAATTAACATACAAGTCAGTATCTTATAGTAAATTCCTGTATGGCTTTTCAAATCTTCAGATTCACAGAGAAGAAGACCGCTGGGGACCACTGACTTATATAGACCGAGAATAGGAGGGTTTGGTGAGTTAGTATATATGGTGTGTTAGTGAGAAGGGGGATATGATGCAGGTTCTTGAGTTAAGATTCTCAGGTCTTTTTTACTTGGGAGGTGGGGGGTGGGGGGGGCGTTGTCTTTAAGAGGTGGCAAGCTCCAGATTGCATTGCAGCTGCTGCTTCTGTGCAAGAAGACAGTAGAGATTCATTACTCCAAAAACACAATACCCATTTATCATCCTGTGATGTTATTCAAATTCAGTACCAAGTGAAAGCCTGCCCCATTCTTCTGCTTCCCTCCTCTGCAACACACTCATTGTTGTATGGCTCAACTAAAAAGCCTTGAAGGACCCAACAGATCATCAGAGACATTCAGCAAAGCTCAAGATGAGGTCTCCAGTGCTGAGTGAGACGAGAAACGAGATAACCCCCCTTTTTTTTAATATAGAATTCATTTACACATTTATATTTTTCTATATGTGGTGGACAGATGCAATATGGAGAAGGAGAAACGCAATTCACCAGCCGCAACTCAGCAAAAGGATGGTGTAAGGGTGGCCCTCACAAGAAGACATCCCAACAATCTTATTTGTTTCCAGGTACCAGCCATGGATCTGCAATGCTTGGAAAATTCAATCGAACAAAATGCTGACGGGTAACAGGTGCAACCCCCCCCTCCAAAACAAACCCTTAAAAAACCACCACAAAGGTCGAACATCTGTATCATTCATTCATCCATGGAATCTGAGTCCATTTTGAGTCTTCTCCATATTTCGATTGAGTTACTTTAGCTATGATCTGTGTAAAGATGCGGTTAGTTGTGGGAGGAGGATTGAGCTCTTCTTTAAGTAATGGCTATATTTTGGAGATGATGTAGCTTTTATATGCGAAAACGCAGAATAGCTTGAAAAGTAGAAGACAAATTTAAGAAAATTCTTTGCTTTTGGTAAATAATATATAAAATGTATGTTTTTTTTTCTTTTCTTTTTGCAAGGAGGGGAGTTTAACTAATCACTTAAATTATGTTTTTTGAATGTGGACTGTATATGTATACGGCGTTTCGCTTTAGATATCAGCTTGTGTGGAGTTTGGGTGCAAATAACAATGTTTTTCACGTTGAGCTCCAGTATTGGAACCTTCTGATATAAAGTCATGAAATAGGAAAACGAGGGGAATTATGAGATCTAAGGGTAAGAACGGGTGTCCCAAAAAGTGCCCCTGGAGGGGGTTGGTGGGAAGTGCTGTGCTTTCTGCAGGTCTTAGTGCTTTCTTGGTGCATTCATATTTCATTTTGCAATCAGGAGCTGGGGATCTGGGGGAGGAGATGCGGCGTGAGGAAACAACCACAGCTTCGCTCATCAGGGAAGGCATTGACTCGGAAATCCTATTACCGAATAGCTAATGATCACATTGCATTTGGCAATAAAAAAAAAGCATGTCATGTATATTCAATATAAATACATATATTTATATATTAATTTAAATAATTATAATATATTTTCCTATATGCAGATACACACATACATGTATGTGTATGTAGACTATATATATATATATATATATATATATATATATAGTGTCATGAACATAGAATAGATTTTATATATACACGCACACACACACACTAAGACATGCTTATAGAATATATTACAAACAAATATGTAATCATGTAGAAATAAATGTATATAACAGATAGATAGATAGAATAAGGAATTGTAGAATTAAGTGTATGCAGACAAGAGGTTGCCAGCAAACACTGCAGTTGTGGTATAAATCAATTAATATCTTTGCATCTACTAATGAAGATACTGAGCGATAGAATAGGCATTTTTGCAGAGCCAGGTTTGCAGGAGGAGGTGATATGATAAATAGTCTCTCAGGGTGATTTCCCTGAAGTATATGGCTGGTTTATCTGGCAGTGAAATAGTTAAGGGTGTAATGTGATCCATAATTATGGTGTATCTGTGGAGCTTGCTGTGTATGTGTATTGCCCAGGCTGTGTTGTTATAGAGAGGACCCAGAGGGGGTACCCATGCTGTGGTGGTGGGGGGAATACCCAGGAAGAGGCTGCGGGGAGGGGTGGTGGGAGACATGTCAAACCTTACAGCGGACACACGGAGCTCTCGCCTCTGATTGTCCAAACGCAATTCTTGTTCCAATAGAGATCACAAGCCAAGAATTGTGCCTGGACATCTGTGGCTGGAGTAGATCCTGATCTTCACAAACAGAGCTGCATGGATGATGATCAAGGACAACCAGTACAGTGCACTACCTGCATTTTTCCATCTGTTCACATCTGTACGCTGGGCTGTGCAAGCCCACACTATTTCATTGTATGTGCAAGAAATATTTTTTATTTATTGAGAACCAATATAGTCCTCAAAACTGTACAATATTATAGGATTATTCAAGGGAAAAAGAGGAAGTACAAAATGTGTTTGCTAAATTTTGTTAATGCTCTTTATATGTGTGTGTGTGTGTTTATCTATATACAGTTAATGCTTTGTAAATGACTGTGTATATATGTATATATATACACACACACACACACAGATTTATAGATAGATATAGAGTTCTCGTTATGTCTGTCTCACTGTCTCTATGTGTATTTATTGGACACATTCATCATTATACCAAGCTACTTAACCAAGAATGCCACATATAAATTTTACTAGTCCACAATTATTTTTTTAAGCAAGTTTTACTTTTTTTTCCTTTTAAATATAAGGTTAATGAAATGTAAGGTTAAAATAAATTGTTGCATTTTTTTCCCCACAGTTACGAAACACAAAAATTTTCTTTAAGATGATATTTCATTTTTTTATGCACTTCTTTTCCTAAATTTGTTATCTCATTTTAGGTATTTTTTTCAGTTAGCTTTCTTAATTCTACACTGCATTCCTTAACATGTCTGTTTTAATATATATTGGTCAGTCTATTAATACTTTACTACGATTCCCCAAACATTTTAGATGTGAAAAAAATATTATTTTTTTTAAAAAACTTAAGAAAAAGGTTTAGTGTGTGCTAAACAGTTTAACCTAATAAAATGATTCAAAATCTGCAAGGCATTTAAGTGTTTTTTTTTTTTTTTTTTTATGTAATCAGATGATTGTGTAAAATTAAATGTGCTTGCTCTATTTAGGTGCATATTTTGTGACTAATTTTAAATATTCATGGGTATTTAATTTTGCATTATATATTGAAGAAACTTTGTCTCTGGGGCTTAGAGATAGTTATTGCTCAGATTCCATTGTTTAGTTCTTTAATAATTCACTGATAAATATCACAAAAGTTTAATATCTGGTGGGATTCACTGAGTTGGTTTAAAAGCAAACACATAATATACATGTTATACTTTAATATTTAGTCTTGGTTTTCTTTTGTTGTTTTTTTAAGACTGTATATTAAGGCCACAAATATTCTCCTTTAAATCAGCTTAAACATTTTTCTTCCAAGTTTGTTGTTAATGTCTGATGTGGGGAGAAGAAGGGAGGTACATTACTTGTAGGGGGGGGAAAAAAACAAAGATGCAAGTCTAGTTAAGAAGAAATCTGCATCCCAGACAAATATATATTTTTGTTTATTTTTTTTCATTAAAAAAAATCATTTAAAAAAAATCTATAAAATCTGACCACAATCCACAACTACTGAATTAAACTAATTTTAAAACATATTATTAAAAACAAATTTAAAAAAAGGCGCAAATAAAAGGGGTTCTCTGCATATTTGTAAACAATGTATCGTTGTAGATTTAATTAAACTGTAACAATAGGACTGAGATGGTCAGGTGGAGTTGAATAGCTCCAACTGTGCTATTGCAGTCCTTAGATACAATTGCACTGCAAGGCAATCTGATTAACTGTTAGAATTCCAGTCAAGCAATCAAAGGAGTGAGTCTATAGCTTTTGTAGAGAGGGTGCAAAGTAGGTGTCGATTTAAATACAAGCTAAACATTCTCTATTCTTTAAATCCTTAGCCCCACTATTCCTGCTTGTGATGCAGTGAAGCTATTGAATAATAAGTAGCCTGGGGGCAAGTTGCCTTTAGTACCCAATGCCTTCCTTAGCCTTTAACCCTTCGAATTCTAAATATAGGACCCAGCTTTATAACATGTTATGGAGTGCAGCTGTTTTATACACTTTAGAGACCCTGTGTTATTAAAATAGCAATTAAAGTACAGACATCTGGGTTATTTGTAATATATTGTCTGAGAATAATGTTATAACATGGTAGAACAAAGTTTAACAATATTACACTTGGTAAAAATCCCAGACAGTTACCATAACAACTTTACCCCAGGTCAAACTGAGGTGGGTAAATGTTATAATTTAATACATTATATATACATTTAAAAAAAAAAGTATATTAAAAATTTTTAAAAATGCAAAAAATTTTAATTCTATGGAATTTGATTTTTATTGATAGAGTGATGAATGCTACAGAGTGAATTAATATAGAAAAACAATTTGGGGGATATTTACTAAAGTGGAAATTCTGCAGAGATGACAAGAGAATTGTTCATTTTAGGCCAAAATATACAAAGTCAAAAATAAATTCAGAACTCAACTATTTTTTCGGCTTGGATTTTTTGGGCCTACAACTGGTCAATATTTTTTTCACTTCTAGACAATTCCTATTATTACACTGTTTACTGGCAATGCTGATGGAAAATAATATATACTGCAGTTCATATAAGAACAAATCGGGTATACGAGGAGGTATCTTATTAAGCTGCACTACCCTTATAAATAATATGGCATCACGTAATAGAAAATACAATTTTATCAATATATTCTGCTGATTAAACTGCTAGAAAAAAAAAAAATACAGAATCAATTCTGCATGTTTTCCAGCAATTACTTCCATGCCATCGGCAGAGATAAAAACAACAAATATGGCCGCCCCTAAAAGATGTGTGCGGCATCCCACAATGCCTTGGGTCTCATTGCATCCACTGCGGTGGTCAGCATTTAGGAAGCAGAATTAATCTACCGGTATGTGTACCTTGCAATCTGTACATTTCGTGTCCATTTCACTATCACAATGTAAATTTCAAATCTGCTTCTTGTCCACCATGATGATATATTGCATCAAATACTGCAAAATGAATCATGAAGTTTATACACACACACATTTGTAGACCCATAGAAGCACGCATATATGACGTTATGTGTTTGTGTATACTCATGTAATAACATTGGCTACTTTAAAAAAAATAGGTGGGTCTTATTCAGAGTTTTTATCTGTAGCTTTTTAAATATTCAAATCTTTCCCATATAAAATATATATATATATTTGAGACTTTTTTTAAAATTATTTATTTATTACTGATTAAACAAAGAGCACAAAACTAATATTCACGTTTTCATCTGACTCTTATAACTAGATTTTGATCAGTAAACTGTGGGATGTCTAGATATCAATTGCGCTAATGACCATGAATGATCAATGCTATATAGGAACCAGTGTCATTCAATGCAAAGATCTCGGCCCACTCCTCACTTTTCATTGACAAGGAGAAAGGTGGCAATTTGTTTTATTATTGGATTTTGTTTGGTTTATAATAATTTTAGATTATATTTTTAAGAGCAAAATAAAAATGTTCTTGTCTACCCGTTTAGCTGTTGGATGGTCCCTATAGCCTAGGAGACCAAGTAGACGGCCAACCCTCCCTTGTAGTTCATTAATAAGCTATGTTTAATTTCACACTGGAATATACCTTATCCTGCCACTTTACCATTAGAATGGCCCAAGGAAGCTCGTAAAGGAGAACCGTAAGGGAGATATGGGCAAATGTCCTGAAGGAAGAGAAGCTCTTCACTCACCATTAAGTAAGGGGGAAATTATGGACAATACTTTTCATACAACTCTGGAGACCATGAAGATCTTTATAACCATGCCACAGTGCATACCATAGCTGTAATTTTGTTGCCTGTCTGGATCAGTGTGCCTACAATCCAAGAGAATATTTTATGGTGTACTTTTGTTGCATCGACTACATGATATATGTCCAAGGAAAGATCATATCTTTTTTTCTAAGGACCTCGAAAAACCTAACTGGGTTTGCAGCTGCTACATAAATGTGGTACTCAGAAGAACGAAGACTGAGCCATACCTACAACACATAGACCATGTTAACGGGTATTATACATGATGCTATAATCAACCTATCTGGAAAAATTTCAGTTCCAGGAGTTTTCATCAAAGAAACAATTACAAAAGGTTTTTCTGGTGGACTATGACATCAACATATAAAATGCACTTTTGTAAGCACTACATTTTTTATGTTATTTTGCCTGTAACTGAATATTTCCTATGCCTCCAGATTATATGCACAGAGGTTCTATACAGAGACATATGCTAGTAGGTACAGCCATGGTGCCTAATAACTTGTAAGCGCTGGTCCATAACATTATAACTAACAAACACTCACATATGGTACGCCTTCACAACATTATACATACTATGGACAGTTCACCACAGTGACATTGTAACTATTGGTCACTGATAGTTTTCCATAACACTGTACATCTAACTAATCACACTTTATAATGGTGTATTATTGTTGTCAGAGATTTTGTTAGAAGACGCAATAAATACATTCCAAAAGCGCCTCTCATTGACAATATGCCTTCCTATTGCCGTAACCGCTACGGACTAAGAGTACTCCTGTACTAATACACACTGACAGCTTTCCATAAGACTAATAACTGCCGATAGTACTCTATCATAACACTGCAACTACTATTAGCTGACAGAACTCATCAAGCATCTCTAAACATAGAAATACTTCTAACAGCACCTGTAACTTCAACTGGGGTTACTCATGCATAACATTGTAACTGCTATCTACAAACAGTGATCCATAGTGCTGTAACTCGCAGTAGCTGACAATGTTCTTCCACCACTCTGTCGTTTCAACTCACTGTACCCCTTTACATGAAAACGAACCCTGACAGTACTCTGAAATACTGTTAATCTCACCAACTGCCTGTGTTTAACACTATAATTATCTCTGACTGATAGCACTGATCCATAATGCTAAAATGTACAAGTAGTATGTTAATGACTTGAACTCTTACTAATTGTATTGCCTCTCAACACTGACTGCACAACAGGTTGACTGTTCTCTTCCGTAACAGTGTTACAACCTATCTCTGATTAAATGGATATTAAGATGGTACTGCTTTTCTAAGGGACATAAGACTCCAAGGGCAAAAATATTGCTTGACTTTTGAGTTATTTATACCTACATCACCGACATGGTCCTCCGCACTAACAATGAAATTACCACTCACTGACAGTGCTCCAAAACACTTTAAGACCAATTACAGTGCTAAATAACTTTGCACTACTGGCAGTGCACCATAACAGTGTAACTAATACACACAGACAGTGCTTATTCACATTTGAACTACCACGTACAATACTCAACAGCTCTGTAAATAATGCTGAGTGACATTGCTCCATAACAGTGTAACTATCACTTACTCAATAGTCTTATAATTAATACTGAGAGTGCTCCACAACAACATAGCTACAACTTACAATAACACTGTAATTATTATTGATTAAAAATGATTCATAACAATGTATCTACTAACATTCTATTAGAACACAAGACTTCCTCATCTATGTTACATCTTGGATAACAACGGTATACGGAATACAGAAAACGTGTTATTAACATGTAGAATATTTTATCGCCATAAAATACAATGTTGCGTTGACATATAATGGATTCCTTGACTTATTCAAAGCAGACCTGCCAAACAGGAGGCCCATGGACTGGAAAAGGGTCTGCAAAGATTTATGGGGCGGCCCTCATTCTGCCACCAAACCATTCGTTAACGGACATTGAACCACTGAATTATAACAGGCCTCTGTCCTCCATCACGCAAGTATGAAAGATATACAACCTAACCTTTTGGCAACACTGCTTTAGTGTTGTAGTATTTAATTCATGAATAACAACAATCAACCGCAATATGTATATGTATATATATATATATATATATATAAAAAATAAAAAAAATAAAAAAAGTAAAGCTCAATGATGTCGAACCCTGGCATCACAGATGTTCATGAGCTACATTTACCCATAAAGCTTTGATAGCCTTTAATCGCAGATAGTGGGCAAAAACGTGGGTTGAAAATCACCCTGTATTTGCATACACATATTTATCTCTTGTTTAAATTCGTAAAATTTTACTTCCCAGGGGACACCATTCATGAACAATCTGAAATTTGTTGACTTTTGCTTGTGGTTGTATCAACTTACTGACCATAAAGAATTATAGAAAAAAAAAAAATCAGCCATCATTGTGTGTTGGTCAAATGCTGCATATAAAGAATTTTGCTTTTAAAAAAAATAAAGAAAAATAAGGATTATTTTTTCTTATTTGATATTTGCCGAGTATCTAAATTAAACCTTTTTTTTTTTTTTAAATAGGTTTTGTAAATGGACCGTTTATAAACACAAATATATATGATGTGTACATTTTCAATGCACAGAATATTCTCTTGTAAACACCTTACAATAATAATTGATCAAATTACAGTTGCTACATTTAAGAAACTTATTTATTTTTATTGTAAAGCATGATAAAGTACCTTAAAACGCCAATTAAAGTAATTTAATTATCTCAATTCTTAAAATGTACACTTTGTGCATATTTGTGAACACTATAATATATATTTTACAGTGCTCACAAATAAATATATATATGTGTATATATATATATATATACATATACACACACATATACACACACACACACACATAGAGCTGAAGGAATTGTAGGATTCAAGTAAAATCTGCGACTTTCATTATCCAGACTATATTTTTTCCCTTTTCTAACCTAGCCTTGTCGAGCTAGTATACTACACGCTTTTAAAAGCAATGATCAGTCTCCATACTGTAATCATGGCGCAACATTGCGGCGGATATTTCTTTAAATGAAGAATCCCGTTGCAATCAGTTTGCGCATTATCTAATAGGTTTATAGAAAACAAATCAGAATCACTGCAATTCAAACCATGAGACATTGATTAATGGCCTTCATGTTTAAAATGTCTCAGTAAGCTATAATTTAACGGCAGAAAAAACAGTGTGTGTTTTTTAACCCACCCCCCCCCCCTTTCTATAGCCTGACGCACAACTCCCTGAGGTGTTCGTCAATATACACGAACATAATAAGACACGTGGAATATGATTGGACTGGCACAAAATGATTCATACATACTGCTATTTAATTTACCAATTTTCTAGGAACAAAGTATCAGCTGGAAAAGGGCCTTAAAAAAACAATGTATAAACATGTAAAAAAAAAAAAATGTATAAACAAACACACAATTGTTAGGGTTCAAAAACCATGGATGTTTTATTTACAGAGTATTTTATAGTATTACACAACAAATACAACAGACTGAATTATTTAGAATTTTAACAATTATTTTTAGAATTTTTTTTATTAGTATTATTTTATTTAGGAGCTGGTTTTACTGAACATTCTATAATCAAGATTTATATTGTTTTTAAACATATTCTAAAGACACAAAAAACCAAAGACTATTTAAAAAAAATAAAAAAAATTGTGAAATAATATAATCTGTATATGGTTATTACATAACAAAACATGGAAAACCACTCAAAATATTTTCATTGTAAATAAAAAAAAATTAAAAAACCCACAATTATAAAAAAAATTGATTTTATAAAAATATAAGCAAAATTGTGTGTTGTATTGGTGAAACATTACATAACACGGAGGCAAAGCATAACGAGAGAATATTGAATTCTGTTAGCTGGATAAATAATCTCGGTAGCCAATTAAATGGCTTCCTAGATTATTTAGGATATCAGACTCCTTTTGATACGGATTTTATTTTATATTAAATAAAATCTTAGATTTCCATGGCTTCTCTTCCTCCACTACACGTGATACGTCACCTGACAGATTACTTCTAGTAAAACCTGCACAAATGATGGTAGACATATTGCATGGCTTTGTTTTTGAGACTGCATTGTGTAGTATGTTGAAGCGTACAAATGGATGGTGCCCTAAACTCTATAAGCGGCAACGTAATTCCATAAGGAGAAGCTTGATTTAATAAACCTTGCTGCGTTTAGTGGTGCTGTGTTTTTCTCCGAGCTCATTATGCTCGATTGGAGTCACGTGATGGATATCTATCAGCGATTCGGCAACACCCTCCCTTCCAAAGACACGTCTTGGACTCCAAGGACCATTTACTTCCCAATCAATCAATATAAGATTCAAAAGCTCTTTTATTTTTTTTCTCTCCCCCCCTCACCCACCAATGCCTTTTACAGCAAATACTGCAGTAGCAGAGAAAAGATAGGATCGGGGTAATGGTGGCTAAGGAATGAGACACGTAGAGGAGGAGTCTACTGAGAAAGTCGCTCAGTCCTTTCCCCTTAAAGAAAAAAAAAACAGCAAGGTGTTTAACTGGCTGAAAATTGTGTTTGTGAACAATGCAGTATGCCAGAAACCAACATTCCGCTGATATCTCCCATTACAATTATACAGTCTGAACGTGAGTAGGCATTCTAGCATTGCATCCTCTCACACTAGCTCTGTTTGAACAGCGGTCTTGAACTGTAATAATGCTGTAGTCATCCATGCATGCAATAGAGCCTAAAGGTTAAAGGTAACCATTGTTAGCCGGATTTGCATATCCCTACCCAGAACCCTTTGCGTTAAGTGTAAGCTCTGTATTCTGAGGATATCTGTGTAAGAAAAAACTATGCCAATTCAGCAACGATGCGATTGTGCTCGTCGACTCTCTACTAACCTATGCGTAGTTTGATTGCATAGGATTTCACTCACCACAGCGACTGTATGTTAAATAGCCAGGCTGTATTAATACAGTTTAACTGGTCAGATACATCCAGAGACGTACAGAGATTGTACTGCATTATGCCAGTGGGTTAGTAAAGTTCAACCCTATCTACGTCTGGTATACTGGCAGCTATTATTTATTAAGTACCTTTTTGACATTCTCATTACCTTTAAAATGTCCAGCATTGTCATAGGGAAAAGGCGTAGAGCCATGAGTTGTGTTTACCTAAAGAATTGTAGATACCTGGAATGTCCATTCAGCTGAGATGGTAGGGGTAGAATTACCTTTATATAAACTAGAAAAAATATATATATCTAAATAATTTAAATAGGTACCCTGAGAAAGGAAAATATGAATTTAAAGGGGCACATAGCATGGACTATGGAGTCTAATCTACTTTGATATTCTGTATGTTTATATGATTTACACTGAGATGATATAATCAATGTCCAAATAACCACAAGGCTGCCAATTAAACTGAAGGAAACAACGATTGATGCACCTGTGCACAAGCAGGGAGACCATTAAAGCAGCACTGTCATCCCAAACATGCCTTTCTCCAGTTGTTTCCTCTCTCCAAATTTGTTCATCCTTTCTGACCTTTTTCTTGTAAAATACATAAGTCAAAGTAGGAACTACTTTGTCTTAAGAATTTTACCGACGCCTGACAAATCTTGGATGGAACTTACCCAAGCACCAATTTCTTTGTCATAATTTGCTAAATTAAATTCCACAAGTTTCACATGCCTGTGGCATCCTTCCTCTCTAATCCTGCCTTCTCTGTACTTTCTGTAGCGTTACAAGTATGTTACAAAACAGTGAAAAACCTGTGAAAAACTACGAATGCATGACTGCCAGGATCCCCTGACATGGCGGCTTGGAACAGACTAAAGAATTAGTATGAATATAGAATAAGAAGATAAAAACTGATTAAATGCATTTTAAAAAATTGTGCATGGAGGGACATGAAAAAATGTGATTTGCCCCATGACAGTGGCAATTTAAAAAAAAGTAATGTCACTTCCAGAATTTCTGTTATTAGTTTTACTTATCCCTATTTTAAAAAATTAATATGTATCTTTTAGATGAGAAAAATAAAAATAAATGTAGAAATTAAAACTCTATGACCTGCAATTGGGAGCCGCTGTCTTACCTACCTGTCAATCATTGTGTCAAACTCTGTTCTTTGTACGTGACAGTCAGCATACAGGGAAGAGGAGAAATTAAACAATGTTTCTATTTTCCTCTTCATCTGCAATGTTTGCCCTGGTTTTGCCTGGTCTAAAATGGTTTGTTCGTTATTAAGATGTCTATATTTTCCCCTTTAAAGAGGTAGAATACAATATCATTTCTATGTAACAAAGTCCACATAAAAAGGTCTCCTGAAGGACAGAGGTTTAAGAGCTTGGAATTAGAGGTTTATAGCTTAACTTTTTTAAATTTAGATTTCGAACAGCAAAACTATTTTTATTTTTGCTGAATGCCTAAATAGAACATCTAATTGCAGACATATCTGGTAAGAGGAGCACTGTTTAATTAAAAAAGAGACTACATTTAAAAACAATAAATCGTTTTGACGTCAACTTTCTTTCAGAAGCGAGATGAGTTCCTTACTGCTGGATTGGCAAAGAGATCCCGTCTCTCAATGGTCCAGCACTTTGAGTCCTCTTCACTAAAGATACATCATTACAATCTCATCGAAGGAATAAGGTGTGAGGTAATGACCAGTCTCATTTTCGGAAATCATTCTCAAATCCAAATAGTTTAAAATTTTAATGCTAGTTTCCAATAGCTCTAAAAGTTTCTTTGAAGGGTTACTCCAACCACCATAACCACTTCAGTGATTTGAAGTGGTCATGGCGGTAGGAGTCTGCATGAAACACTGCACATCCAGAGATATACAACCTTTTGTGCTGGGGTTCGTTTCACCCCTAGCACAAGTGATTTTTTCAGCCCAGAACTCTATTCCGGACTGCCAAATGTCAATTCTGTGCATATTTTGTATCTGTCGTCAGTGCGTCCTGTGCACTACACTGCCTGCAAGGGGATCGTTATTATCACCTCCCCCATTGCAGTCCCTCCATCTCCCTCCTTCACATATAAAGCCGTTTAAAAAAATAAACAACCGTCCCCGACCAGCTCATAACACACGCTATCCACCCCTGGAGGAGGGAGATCAGCACCGGGAGCTAGATTATAGGTTGTTTTTAAAAAAAAACAAAAAACGTTTTTTCACAGTTTGGTTTGATTTTGACACCTTAAATTAGATGTATTGGATAAAATTCCACATATAAAATAATTATTTTCTAACATTCTTTGAAGAAATTTGCATTAGGGCTGAGCCTCTGCCTTGTTGTAGTGTGTCCACTCTAATCCCTTCCCCTCTTCCCTACCTATCCCCCCTCCTTTTTACTCCTCTTCCTTGCTCTTCTCCTTAACCCTTTTTCTTCAAATGTTTTATTGCTGTGCTGACTCTTGAAAGCTTGGAACTCCACATAAAGGGGCCTGCACCTTACGATTTATGTTTACATTGTTTGGAATATGGGAATTACCGTCAGCTGATTCACTACTGGTGGAAGCATCGCTACGGGGTATTATGCAGTGAATGTGACTTGATGTTATTTCCTCCTTTATTCATTACTTGTTTTTACATGGCATACACTTATTTAAGGGAAACTATAGGTACAAGAAAAACTATAGCTAATAACAACTTACAAGAATAACAAACTTAATGAAGTAGTTTGTGTGTATAGACCATGTCACTATGGTCTCACTGCTCAATTCTCTGCGATTTAGGACTTAAATCAATGTATACAGCAACACTAGCCACACCGCCCTGCATGTGACTTGCACAGCCTTGCTAAACACTTCCTGTGAGAGAGATCTAATTTTTAAACTTCATTTATAGCACATTCTGTATAATTTAGAATGTCTCATCTGTTGCTCTGTTAATAGCCTTCTCGACCCTGCAGCAACAAAGTTCCGAGCTGCCAAAGTAACATGTGCTGGAGCTGTGCCCGTATGTAAATATCTAACTCACTAAAGTGATCATGGTGGTTGGAGTAATCCATTAATATACCATAGCACTCATGAGCTGATCAAGAATGTAGTGCAAGGCTTTCTTAAAAGGCAGGTCCCTATATTTTCTATAACTACAACTTCCATGATGTTTTAACATTCTAGAGAGTGATAAAGCATCATGGTAGTTGAAGTTCTAAAACATCTATTGACCTACCTTTAAGGCATGCATCAATCAGTACTTTATGGGCAGAGCAAGGGCTTAAGGGGTTGTGGTTCCATTGCCAGAAAACATGATATTATGTACAGCAATATATTTCAGATTTAAAAAAAACAAAACACTATAAACATTGAAAGAAGCATTTCAGAAAAAAAAACAATTATAGTTTGTTTTGTTTATAATGGAAGTCCATTGTAATAAAACCTGGGTTTTGCACCACAAACCAAGATGACACCAGTCATACAGGAAAAATTATTCTAAAAAAAAAAATCATTTTCTCATTGGAGTACAGGGCTTTATTTGTAATTTAAACCACTAATGTAGGAATCTCTGTTAAAAAGCAATAACAGCATGTTTTAAATAAAGATTAAAACGCTTAAACAATAAAAAGATGAATATAATATTGTACTTTTGGCAGATTGTACCAGAAGCATTGGTGCCAAGCTAAAAATAAGGACGAGTAATAGTTGAAATTCTAGAAGGTCCCTGAAAGATACAGAAGCGAGCTCAACCCATGCAAAATTGGCAGCGGATCTCGTTTAGAATGCTTCTCTCGTCTGCAGGAAAATTAATGGACAAACTAGGTATTCTTGCTCAAGGAACAGATTTCCACTAAATTGTTTTCACTGGCCGAATCTCAGGCCTAACAGGCCATAACACTGGCCTCAGTGGTGGGAGTTAGTAGGACATTTTGGCATCAAGAAACACCATTTCCCATTCCATTCCCCTCCTCATGATGTGCCCACAATCAGACAGTCTGAGAAGATGCATAATCTCTGTCATATAACACTAGACCACAGGTACTCTAGAGCCACTCCTTTTACATTTAGTGAAGAGATCTTAGTTAAAAGCAAAACATAGGCTGTGTTCTATAGAAGGTGACTGATTACCCTCACCTTATCTGGCCTCTGTGAATGTTGAAGCCACTGAAAAAGATGAGTAAATCACTGCCATTATTTCACCGTTACTGGACAAGCTGGAGGATCTCAAAAATTGAAGCAGGAGACGTAATCCTAGCATTGAAGCCTTATTTGTATCCATCAATGGTCCTGGCTTATTGAATTTTGTCTAAAAGTGGATGTTGCAGGCATTGACAGCCATCAAAAGAATTCACACAGTTGGCATAGACACAACAGAAAGGAAGCCAAGATTGTGAGCTGTAATAATACAAGTTTAAAGCATTGCAGGCAAAACCAAAACTATGGCTGCTTACCCTTGCTGCTCGTCATTGACATACGAAAACATAAAATTACTAATGTTTCAGACCTTTTCTGTTCTAATGTCCCAGAAAAGAAGGAACCCCTATAAAGTAAGTATTGCCTCCCCAAGGACCTTGAGATCTTGAGACACCACTAAATTCACATTCTAGTCTCCCAGCAAAGAAGCCTTCCTCCATTATTTATTGTGTCCAAAATGTCCTCCAGGACTGAGTGATCCCATCACGTTAGAATAGACAACCTAGGCATTAATGGTTAAACAGTCTTATTACCCTTCCTCAAGGACACCTATTGTAAGCATTTATGGAGTTTTACTTAAAGGTCTGGTGGATCATGTATTTCTCCATTGTAGGAAGACCAATGGGAAGTCTAGAGACTGACAGACTTATTTAAATGGAAAGTGAGACCAGAAAACCATAGCACCATTAAACTGAAGTCAAAAAGATGAAGCAGGTAGGTAGACATACACCTTAACCTTTTTTTATTACCAGCTTCAGTGCTTGAACTCCGAGAGAAATATAGCTTTATTGGTCTGTGATGTTCACAGTACGAAAGAGTAACCTTTGGGGAAGTTTCCACTAAGGAGGACTATTCTGTGGAGTGGACTTGACTGTCCATTGCTTGTCCGGAGCCAAAAGAGGCCATAATGCAGTTTTTGCATATTTTATATTGCCCTATGCATTTTATTATGTGTAACTCCATCATGTTCTTTTCTGCTATTGTCTTTTGAAATGTAATAAAATCTGCATGCCTGATATATCTATATTTATGATATTTGGATAATCTGAAATAATTTTATTAGACGGTATAAAGTCTCAGGTAGTTAAGACTTATCTCACTATATTGATGTAATTCATTTTTTTGTTAATGAATATTTTATTGAGATTTAGCATAATCAACGAGACAAAACCACTCCCCTTGAAGGATTAGAGAAAAACGGGGCAAATATTATTTCTCTAATACATGGCACATGAGTCCTAAAGAATAGTTGAGCTAATTAGCTAGTGAGAATAAAATGTACAAAAAATAAATGGGTATGCAAAAAAGATTTTAAAAAAACAAGAGAAGACTGAACCAATGGCCTGGATGTAATTTCCAATAATATAATTTATGAATAACCAGAAGCCCTTGCTTGTTTCCCTAACTGAATATCAAAGAGATTTGACTTTACTAGCAATCCAGATCCGTTGTTTGATCTAGCCTACTTTGAACATCTTGACTGGTTTGTTAAGTGAATAACAATGGGACGGAGACAATGTTTAATAATCCTCAAGGATTGACCCTTCAATAGGCCACAATTTCAGCTAGGGTGGCCCGAAAAGTGTTTTGACTTTAGCATGCTTTGAATGCATTTGTCTTTTAAGACAAGATTATGTTACATATGGCTAAATCAGTGGTGTTTTTTATTACTCAATGATTAAAATTAAGATAAAAACTATATAGATATACTGATATTGATATCAGTAACAGGCTGAGATAAATATCTGGAATGGCTGACGCTTGCAATTCCATATTGTTTTTACGTATCCATTTGTTTGCACTTTGAAATTGAATGGTTTCTTAACAACTAAGCCAGACAGAGCGACTTCAGGACAGAATGTATTAAATCTGGACATGTCTGCTACTCACAGACATATTGAAAGTCAATGAGTGTGGTTTTATTTTCTGAGCACAATTTGACAATGGCAATATGCCCAAATGTAAGAATCGAGCCAAGCTGTATCACAGATCTCCACCAGGAGTATATCCAACCACAGGTAAGCTACATCAGATCACCGTATCAAAAAAATGCCAATAAACGGTTTAACCTTTGTTCAATACACGCTGTTCAAATCAAGAGGACAATGTTTTTTTCTCACAATCCCTCTAGTTAGTGTATATTTTTTTCACTAAGGCTTTTTTTTTTTAGACGTACAGCAGAAAATAAAATGATTCAACACACCTGAGAATACAAAAAAAGTTTTATTAGGGTCTTTTTGGCATAATCAATTGAGCAACAAAAAAAAAATGTTAAGTGAGACGAGGCACGATATTCTTGGTTCTATGTACAAGAAGTACAATAACGTACAGAAGTACAAAAGAAAAAAGATATATAAAATCAAATAACAAAAAACATATATAACCAGGAAGAGATTATCTCCTTACAGAGAATTATGGCAGTTTTTATATAAATATATTCCATTTGAAAATGTAGGTCTTTCCAGGAAGTGTCTCATGCTCACAGCTGAAGCTGATACGAGAGCTGACCTTGTAGTTATTAAAATATTTTGGTTCCCATTGGGTCCCTTTATTTATCCTCCATGTAACGTTGAGATAAACACCACGTTGTCTTCATTTTCCAATTGGTAATCCAGCTCTCCCTGCATGAGAAATAATAATTTACACAGAACAAAAATCTAAAACATTAAGATAGGCATGGCAACAGAAAAGCAGCGTGTATGTATGCAACTGTGCATTTGTATATTTGACATTAAAGTGGTAAAATGGCTTGGACTTGAGAAACTGTCTTTGCACCATCAGGTAGCATGCCAAAACGGTCTATACTTTGTTTTGTTCATTTTTTTTTTATCTGTGCAGGTTTACTTTTGAAAAGATTTCCAGTGGACAGAGTATGCGTTACAGATCATCAGAGAGTTCAAAGAACCATATCCTATTCCCTGCGCCGTGGGATGCTGGGAATTACTCTTCAATACACAATCTGATTGGTTGTTGGTTGCCTTTTTTTTTTTTTCCTTCCTCAATAAGCAACTATTATCAAAGATTTTATAAATTGTGATGGAATCAGAATTCTCAATTCAATAGAAAAGCTTGCTGGAATTACCAATGAAAGATGGACAGTAGTAATTCCAGACAAACTTTCTTTAATTAGCTATAGCTAGTTAAATTAAAATAAAGAGTTTTAAGCATCGGAGACACGTTAAGTCATACACTCAGAGGACAATAAGGACCCCTGACTGCCTTCATTCAGAATTTTTCAATTTGCTGGAAAAGTTTGTTAAGAATTTTGTTCACGTCTAACTCAATGGCATCATGCATATTGGAGATTTTTCATCCACACATTCGTGGACGTCTTGTCATGTTCCTAAAACCACTTTGAGACAATAGGAGCGTTCAGACACTGTGACCTCATTTCCCTGTTTTTAGCTCACAAGTAGCACTCAACATGCTCTTCTGCTGCTGTGGTGTGCATTCAGCAATACATATCATCACACCCCAACCAAGAGTGTTTGTGACTTTTTTCTTAAGAATTTGAAGTCAGGCCATTCGACTCCGACGTCAAGCTATTTTCATCCACAGTTCTTCCTCTTGATGAATTTTATTTTTATTTATTTATACTGTAAGCCCTGGATACTGATTCCCTGTTTGCCTATTTGTTTTAACAAACAAGTATACCTAATAAAGTGGTCACATACTCATATATAGAACTAATAATGCAGATTAATGCAAAAACACAAAGAAATGGAACATTAGTTCAATGTAAATGCAATATAAAATAATAACATATTGATTGTACGCTGATCTCAGAAAGCAAAGCACAAAAGGAGCGAATGTAATGCAATTTGATACCTGGATTTAAACAATATATTCTATATTTTAGTAGCCACCTTTAAGGCAGTGTCACATAGACAAAACATTAACGGAGACAAGAAGAACAAGTAAAGAAAATTAAGTAGATCTGTAATTATTCATCCCTTGCCAGATTTAAAAAGAATACAAACTTTTTTTTTTTTTTAAAGGTGTATTTTCTTTTCTACAGCTAAAGCTCTCTTTTTTGAAGGACATTATGATATGTAGAAGAAAACCCATAACTGGAAATCAGGGCAACATTTTAAGGAAACTAAGCATCATATTTGATTGTGTACTAATTGCAAGGATGGCGTACCTGAAACAGGATTTAATTATGACAGTAATATAAATCAATAAAAGTGCAACTGCAGGTATTTTATGGCTCCCTCTGTTAGGTCAACCTCATGGAGTAGCAGAAAGAAAAAAATATTAACATTTATATAACAATAAAGAAACATTAAAAATGGCTGTTCTCTTAAAATTAGTTTCTCTTTTCGCTTCTTTGGATCTCCTTCATTTAATTTATTTTTCTTTCATTCTACATTCTCCATTTTTACTACCCCTTTCCCAATTTTCCTCCCTCTTCTCAAGTTTTACAGCCCAGCTGTTAATTATGAATATAATCATCATTGCCTGTTTTCTGCAAAGTTCTAAAATTGGGACATTCCCAGATATCCGTCCATTTGGAACTCTCCTTCATAAAAAAGAACCTAAAGCAGTTACAACCGCATTGGTCCTGCAAGACCATAGCTTAGCATTTCTGAATTAACCATGCAATATTACAACACAGCTTTTCCACAAAATGAATGACTGTAGACTTCCTGCAATGAGGAGAAATTACAGTATACATCCCTTCCTACAGCAGAGTACAAATAAAACATTGCTAGACCTCTACTCAGCAGGAAAGGCCCTGATACCGCTTCTCTGGAAAAAGCAAGAGGTTCCCACCCTCGGACAGTGTCAGGACAGGGAAGATGAGATACGCCATGGAGATGCAGCATTACATAGTAAAGTAGACAAATGTTCCCAGTTGTGGATGCCGTGGCCTACATACATTTCAACTCCCACATAGTGACCTAGAGCATACACTCACAGTGTACCTCAGGGGACTACAGAACGGTAAAACCTTCCTCCCCCTACTCCTTTCCCTCTGCATATTTCGTACATCTTTGTTTCCACCACTCTGGAATAGTGATGACCAGCAGCTGCTTAGTCCTAAACCTCAAGTGAAATCAGATTAGCGTTTGATGATTACACAATTTGGCGACAGGGATAGATGTTATAATAACTCTATTTATGTCTTTTTTTTTCGATGGTAACACTATATGTTTACACCTTTCATGTTTCTGTTATTCTACATTTTGTGTCTAAGACGTTGAATGCTAAAACACCTAAAATAAAGATTGTCCAAAAAAAAAAGAAATTACTTAAATACCGGTAATTTATTTTGCAGATTTCTGCCTCATAACCCCGCTCCAGTAGCTATAGTTCCATTGATATGTAGCGTAATTATAATTTAGATTACAATGTTCTTTTGGATTTCACCCATGTTATTTTTACATATATTGTAATATCCTTTTCATTACATTCACACAATTTATGTACAACGTTTATAAAAGTAAGCTTTATTTTAAAGGATCAAAGTATAATTTGGGTTTGGCCTCTCTGTCCAGTGTTTTTAAACAAATAAATGCCCTTTCCTTTAAGTCTTCAATGATCTAAGTGAAATTGTATTCTATGTGTGCACAGAATTGGACACGATTTGCATCATATGCCAGGTTGTGCCTTTACATCCATTTGATTTTACAAATCTAAAGAAATTTTAAAAAGCATTCTTTGTAGTAACCACAACGATCAACATTTAGAAACACTAGAAGTCTCACTTTATTCATAAAGTGACAGTTGTTATTCAATAAACCTATATGTTAGTATTCTGTTTTAACTCACCATGAGTTCCCAGTCTGAATCATTGATGAGAACAAGGATTCCAGGACGCCTAAGGTGAAAAACAAAGCCAAAAGAAATTTTAATATTTTTATTAAAGCAATATTGTGAAATCTACACAAAAATGTGCAGCTAGCTAAAAGATATAATGGCTGACCAGTCACTGAATTGTAGTGAATTGAAACCCAAATTGCTAAATTTAAGCTAAAAACTGCCAAACTGTTGCTAAAGCAGAGTTGGAGAATGTATCCTAATCACATATTTTGGCAAGTCATTATTCATTTCCTTACAATTCTGTTCAGTTTATTTCAGCAAATAAAATTGGTGTTGTTCCCACTTGACACAGAGCTGCAGTACGTTACATACCGGAAAGAGTGTGTAAAGGGTCAAAGAGACACTAGTGTATGCCTCAAGCCACCCCAAAGTGTGTTACAGGCTCACTGCCTTTGGGGCTACATTAGGCTGAACACAGACCTTAGAGGAAAACTCCACATGCATAAAGGACTTCAGCTTTCTGAAATGCTTTATGTGTCTAGAGTCTAGAGCCTGACACATTTGAAATCTGAACTTTTATATTAGGGGGCAAACACCTACCTGGCTGTCATTAAGAAAACCAGGGAGGTATTCTTCAGCTTCTTTTAGCAATACGGAGCTACTGGTAGTGGCAGGCACACTTTGCTAGCACGCACCTGCCTTCTCCCCTTCACATTTAGTTGTATTACATTTATTTATAAACTATTTTACCAGGAAGGATACATTGAGAGTTCTCTCTCTTGTATTACATCTCATTGAAAAGCTTTGGATAGCCATCATTGCGTGCGCTGGTGGCTCTAGCACAGAGGCTTTTCAATGAGAGGCCTCTGATTGGAGCATTAGCCAGCACAGACTTGTAGACAAGGAAAGGACTTGCAAAGGCTTCAGACATGAGATCTTAGATATCTAATATAAACCCTACTGGAAAAAAAAAAAAAAAATAAACACATACATATTGATATTGGGGGTGTATCTACTAAAAAGTTATTTTAAAAAGTTCCTTTAGTGTGGTGGTGTTTTTTTTTTTTAAGTAGCTGTGAGCATTATACTTGTGATTCCCATTAGGCAATTAATTAAAACTAATACATCAATTTATATATAAATAAATAAGACTATGTTACCACTATAAAGTTTCAGTGATTCCAACATCCCAGTAAATTCTCCCAACCAGAGACTTACACTGTCTCTCCCTGAATGAACAGCTCCGGGCGTTCCTTCAACAGATTCTGTTTGATCCAGACCAACAACTGTCTGATGTTCCCTGAAAAGAATAAAAACACGTTGCGTGGACTATTTTCTTTTTCTCATTTATTTTGTTAGAAAGTTCAAAATACACTTCATTAGAGGCTCATATTTATTAATTTCTAAAATGTAATAGTACCGTTATATGCATTATCATTTCACTTAAATTCACGATGTATTTTTTTTGCTTTTTTATTATAATTTTTTACCATAAAGAAACTTTTCTAGATAACATTTATAGTTTAACCAATGAGACAGCCACTAGAGGTTGGATTAACCCATAGGTAAACATAGCAGTTTCTCTGAAACTGCTATGTTTACAGCAAAAATGGTTAAACCTAGCTGGACCTGGCACCCAGACCACTTCATTGAGCTGAAGTGGTCTGGGTGTGGTCATTTAAGGACACATGACATGTGTGACATGTCATGATTCCCTTTTATTCCAGAAGTTTGGTCCTTAAGGGGTTAAAGGGGTAATGAAAATGACAAATATTGTTATGCAAGTACTGTATGCCAGTCTTTTGAAGCTAGTGGTATTTCTGACATCATATCAATGTTAGGGAGCATAGATTTACTGGAACAACTGCATTATAAGGGGAAAACTGAAAAAAAAAAAAAATATATATACAGAGAAATGGGGGGGGGGGAGGGGTGGAGGGGATGAAAAAATAAAAAACATTTAAAAAAAAACTTTTTTGAGAAGTCAAATGATAAGTGATGTTACTATGATAATTCTCTCTCTCTTTGTTTCAAAGGATTACATGTTCACCGAAAAATGTTATATTTTCTGTCCACCCTTTTTCAAGGCTACCATTTAACCAACGTAAAGTGCTAACAGACCAAGGTATGTCCCCCATGTGACATGGTTCACAGCAAATACAGCGACTATTTAGTCCACCCAACATGGTGGATAGGAGAAGACGCCGACGCCGTGGGACCGGCTGGAATCCATCGATGCTGCATTTTGATGAGTAGCATTGCTGGTCACAGAAGGGTCAGGAGCAGGGATGCGAAAGCTCGTTTATCAGACTGACTCAGGAAAGGGTCAGCAAGCTCTGCCCGAACTCCCACCCGCCCACATTCTCGGTCCAGGGAAGCTATTGTATGGGGCGTTACCATGGAAAAGCCGGCATTGCTGCGTTTCTCCTATTGTTCCATTCCTGGGAAGGGATCCTTCTCCACGTCCCCCTGTCTAATCAGTAACAGAAGTGAAAATGTAGCACGACTGTATCTCACCTCCGCAGGGCCTGGACCCAACAATAAAGGGGGGCTGCTCTGCTGCTGTAATGTATTTAATGATTACCCAAGAGGACATTCCTTTATAAAAGAAACCTTTTTCATTTTCTCTCCTTTTGTTAATGAAGTTCACACTATGTTGGGTCTCATTTTTCCAATGAATTAGGTTTAAAATAAAAATGTTCAATCTCATGAAGGTGAACATTTCCAACTACCTAGATTTTATATTAAAAAAATGGAAAACATACAAATACTACAATAAATAAATGTTCATAATAAAAGAGTAATGACAGCACTACAAAACATCCATAAGCACTTGTATTAGCCATCAAAGTGAAGTGATGGACTGCACAACTTAGAGCTCTAATGTTAGGCCATGTCCTTCTGACTGTGGTTGGATTAAAACGCCCAAAAACTCTCAGGAGCTACAGGACCTTACAAGAAACACAAGATTCCACCATGAGGTCCTAAATAGAGAGCATGGATCAGGCATGACTGCATACATTTATTTGTATTGTAATAGTTAAAGTGCGCCAGCTTTGATATTACTAGAATATAAATGAGAGTAGAAGGACATAGTTCTCACTGATGTTTTTAAAAAGTCCTGCAAATAAGGAAAATAAAGTGTCAGGATGTTCACTCCTGAATACAGAATTATACTAGCTAGGACTCTGTGAAAGAGAGTCAGACTACATACCCCATGATTCTTTGCTTGTCTTAAGTTGGCAAAGGCTAGGGTACGTCATTGAGGTAAATGGGTAAAATCAATAAATTGCTGGCAAATGAACTGAAGCAGAGATGGGATTGTCTGCAGTGCTTATTAATATAGATCAGAGGCAGCAAAAGGTTGATTGTGCTTGACTTTCTCCTATATGGTTGTGGAGCTCCATGAGAAATATAGTCCACAACAACTTTAGTGCAATAAGTAAGCCATCACTGACACAGACACCCTGGAGGAGTGGAGGCTTTTAGAAAAAAAGTACCAACATAAGCGAGAAAGGTGCTCGTACACTGATATGCAGGCTGCCAGGGCATCCTGGATTGGGGATCTGAGTAACTGGGAGGTGCAAAGGGGATAAGAGGCGATCAGTAGGGGGGAACAATAAGGATGCAGAAAAACTTCACAGATGTGTTGACTCTTTGTTTAATTAAGCAGAAAGTGCTCCTTTTGAAAAGCAATTTCGCACAGGGGGCTCAGAGTTGTGCAAACAGTGCCGGTCAGTTAGCAGGAGGGGGGAGAGAGGCAGAAGGAAAAGGGAAGAGGGAGGGGCACACATGGGAACAGCTGGCACCATGAGCTATGTGAACTGCATTCTAATCAGTTTAAATAGCTTACAACAGGGTCCCCGTTATGCAGTATCATGACAATAAATTCCATAGAGACAGAAGGTGAATGGTAGGAATGACATGTACTGCTGGCAGGTTCTCCCATAGCATCTTTCATTCAACCTCTGTGTTCAGCAACCCCCAATGAAATGTTCTGGACCAAACATGTTGAATTATGCAGCCGTGTAATACAGCTCAGATCATAATAAAACTGCATTCAGTTGTTTCCTGTCAATGTTTACTCATTAGGGGTCTATGGATATTTAACTTTAGCTCATGGCCTATGGCTATGTAGCAAAATATCCTTGTGTCACACACTGTACCATTTGTGTTATGTCGGTCTACTGGATTTGTTGGTACAGTTTGTTGAAAATAAGATTAAAAAACAAAGCAAAATAAAATTTTTGCATTCATTACTCCAGACCAAGACATTCTGCGTTAACCTTTTGGTCCATTGTATCTGCCAATTTTCCTAAAATCATTTCCTTTGCATACATACCTTGATACCTTACTGCACAAGTTCTTAACCTGTGGTAAGAGTACCCAGAAACTGGCAGGCCGTGCACAAAGGCACAGTGGGCACCTGCTTACTCGGATGGCAGGTGCCTACTCTGCTCAAATGTGCTTTGTCCAGAGTGGAGAATGAAGTCGGGTAGCACTGTAGCGTAATATCTCTGCTCTTCCACCACCGCTCCCTCGCGTCCTGTGGTGATGCCAGGAGCCAGGTTATGACGTAACTCCGGCCCCAGCATTACCAAACAGCTTGCGAGAGAGAAGGGCTTGAAAAGCACAAAGATGTCCACACTAGATCCCAGAGAAAGGATCCCCATTGAACCGTAGGAAAGGATCCACTCCAGCTTTGCAGGAAGCCTGCATTAACTTAAATATAAATAAAATATATATATATAAAATTTGTGAGTGTGTTTGAGAGAATGTATGTCAGTGAGTGTGTGTGTGTGTGTGTCTGTGAACAAGGGTGTGTCTGACAGTGTCAGTGAGTGTCTGTCAGTGTGTCAAATCAGTGAGTGTGTCAAGTCAGTAAATGTGTGTGTGTGTGCGTCAGTGACCTCTGTGTGTAAATATGCGTGTCAGTGTACTTTGTGTATAACTGTGTGTGTATATTATATTTATATTAAAAATAATCTTTACTACCTTAAATCTGGCTTGTTCTCCCATATGGGATTAATTTAAACCGTTTCATTTTGAATTTAAATCATGGAGATTACTAGCTTGAAGCAGAGATTTATTTTTATTTATTTTTAAACCTGCAGGGGTATTTCTCTGTAAAAGTTTGAGAAACACTGCCTTACTGCACTTCCTACTACCACCTCTGCTGGAAAGCCATTCCAATTATCTATGGCACTTTTGTAATTTCACAAATGTCGTAAGCCCTAAGTGGTTATCCACTAGATAGAGAGTTGTGCTCGGCTGACAACTAAATGTCAAAAGTTAAGCCGCAGTAGGCAGTGCTGAATAAAATCTCCATCTCGACCAAGGAGAAGTGATCTTATTTCTAAACTCTGTTATTTTTGTAAGTTGTCTTACAATTCACTGCATTTGGCATTTCATTTTACCATTGAGTACATCCTGAAAGTGTAACATAGTCATGCTGTAGTGTAGAAGCGAACTGCATCTTAAATATAGAAAGTATAATCTAGGGGCAAAGGCAAACACCAACAGTGCACCTTTAATGATAATATATTATGAAGGCTCTTTATGGAGCATTAAGTTATAAATAAACTTTAATATTTAAAATTAAGATTTTATTTCTTGCTTCTATACTGAACTCATACAGGTAAAAACTACGTACGACTGCGGCATGAGACACATAGCATATCTTGGCACTCTCGTAGGAAGCAAGCTAAAGTAAACATATGATTTATTCTCTTGATTTACTGCCAATTTAACTAGTTCAATGTACAGACTGAACGTGCTAAATTTACTAATGTGGGCACTGGCAAAGGAATCCATTTATTTTAGGAGGTTTTCAGGACACGAGTCACTTCTAACATTTAAATTAAGTAAAACTATCAGACAGATAAAACAGTTTGGTAGTTTAACGGAAATGTAGGGGCGGCGTAAAAAGGTGTATCCCTAAAACGTCTCTAGAGAGATTACTCACAAGGATTTGATTGGTTAGGCAGAGTCACATTATGCTTCTTGATGCCATCAAACAGCAGTTCTGCGCCACCACTGAAATAAGATGATAAAAACATGAGTTGCCCTGACATCAATTCAACAGTGGAGGGGACGATACAAATACACACAGTAAAGTGCCATAACAGAGCCAAGAGCAGACAAAGGAATCCCTGCAGGCTCCCCTGCGACCGCGGTTACATATTAGCATTTCTATGTCATGCTCTCTAGGGTCCCAATGGAAAGTAAAACAAATTCTGCATGCAAAGACGAAGAAACCCGCAGCTTGCATTTAATGTGTTTTACCCCTCTGCTTATGGAGGAGGAGGAGAAGATAGATCATCTCCTCTCTAATAGTACAGTAAAGGGTTGAATTAATCACAAAGCCTAAGGATTAAAGGTCAGAACAGAAGAAAAAAAAGGCGCACATGCTCAGTCTAAGTGTTGCTTAGATATTCTCTAATCCATGTCCGAAAGGAGCCACCAGTAAATTTAACTCTGGATGTGCCAGAATGGATTCAATTATGCTGTATCGCACACCCTTGCAAAAGTTAACTTTTTGCCACACATTTTAAAATAACAAGCATTGAAGTTAATGTCAATTATATATATTATACATAGACACAATTTTATAAAATTTTGTTTGTTTTGTTTAGTTTCAGCTTCAAGACACTGACCATTTTAATGGAAACTTGTCTGACCGCTCTGTATGGTTTCTATGGTTAAAGTTTTCAATAGAATCTATCTTTATGGTATTTTTTCTACACGTGCTTTTAAAAAAAACATTTTTGTATTATGTCCTGTTGTACCACTATTGCTAAACTACTTTTATCTCAGAGACCTGCCATTCTGATGGTAAATCATTTTATAATGCTACCAGGACATAGTCATTATAGGTTTTATATATATATATATATATATACACACATACATACACACACACACACACACACACAGATAAATATGCCAGTCAGTAAAATATACAGATGAAATAAATTACTGAGTGCACCCAAAGATGGCAAATATGTATGCGCTATAAAATGCCATCATGTGAGATTTGTAGGTGCACTGTAACTTAGAGTATGTATGAACAACATGTAATGGAAGTTATCAACAGTAACAGGTTAGAGAGTTGTGTTGGCTGTCTAATGTCTCATGATGAGCGACAATGGTGAGTTTCAGGCATTACTCACCATTGTGTTAGAATGATATATGGGATTTTAGGATACCATTACAATGAGAAAAGCATTGTTTGTCAACTTGAATGCTTCTAAGTAACATGCCTTCACTTTCTGTGTCTCCCATTATACAGGACAGCCAATCAACTTGACAACACACAGGGTGGCAGAATTTGTAAGCCTTGTAAGTAAGCTCCTTTTCAACCTATCGTTCCTGTAAGTTTTCTTGTAATTGTCCTATTTATAGTTAAATCCCCCTTCTTATAATATTGTAAAGCGCTACGGAATCTGTTGGCGCTATATAAATGGCAATAATAATAATAATTGTTAGTCTTAGTAAAGAGGTATGATTCAATCTAACTCTGCTAAATGAACAGGGTTAATGGGTGATGCTATCTTGTATGTATGTTTCAGTGCTTCCCAAAGCAAGTTCCTTACAGTTTGCACATTTGAGTCAGTTACCACAAGTTTTGTTTTTGCTTGCAGTCACCACCAATAAGCCAGATTGTGGTAGGAATCATGGCTATTTTTTTTTCTTAAAAATCAGGTTTGCCAGGAAACAAAGGCAAATATATAAAAATAATTTGCCGTACATGCCAGTCCGCATGAAGACATTTGTTCAAATACAATTGTCAAATTTCATAGTACTTGCGTAGGTAATCATATTTAAATTGAAAAAAGTGATGTAATTGGGACATGGCTAAATGATAACCCCAATCTACTTCAACCAATGGCTGCCATCATCCTGTAAAAAGTTAGACAGATCCTAGAGTATTTATGTCTAAGGTCTTGGTATGTGATATTGAGTCTGGATATAAATCAGTAATGTTGAATATATGACTGCAGACCACAGTAAGTTAGCTTTTAAGCAAATTGTGTTCTATGTGCTAACACAGCAAGTTACAAAGCTACAAAAAACATCATGTACATCAAACGTGCGGACTACAAGAATGGACGGAGACCATGTACAGCATAGCTTTGGTATTAGTTCCTTGTCCTCATCCATGAACCACGTCAGTAGTGGCTAGAATGAGGTCTCCAGAAACAGGACTTTAAATCTAAAATTGTATGCTTCTAGCCAGGCCTTATGCGCTCCTCGCAACACCAGGGCTAAATTTTAACTTGCTAGTGGCAACTAGACATTTTGAACCCTGCTCTATAATTTCTTTATTTCAACATAATATTCAGGCACACTTACTCATTTATAAAAACCAGTGCAGGTGTATGTGAACACTCAAAAGGTAAAAAACTGCAACATTAGCCATTCTGGAACATGAAATAGTTCTACACCTGTATTTTAGCTATTCCTAATAATGTTGGATTATTTATGCGGAAAGCAGCTGATGGTACGTGGTTTCTTTTAACCCCTTAAGGACCAAACTTCTGGACTAAAAGGGGATCATGACATGTCACGTGTCCTTAAGGGGTTAAAGTGGCAATATAAGTGGAGGAGTCCTTGGAGTATTACAGATGAGATTTCTATTTGTGCCTTTAAGTTTGAGTCCACTTTGAAGTGACTTAGCAGTATGTGAGTGTAAATACCTGCCTTTTATGTATTTGTTTTACTCTGACAAGCTACACTATAAGTTGCTATTTTACAAGGTTTTTTAATAGAACTATTTCTTGTTCCAGAGTGGGTGATATTACAGTTTTTACCCTTTGAGTGTTCACATCCGCCTGCACTGGTTTTTATGTTTACTTGATTGTGTGTTGTGTGGAGTAACACAGCAGCAGGTGTTGATATTACACTCTTTTTTGCACTTTCCTCTACACTTTTGCTTTTTGTTGACAGTGACTCATTCAGTTATGACAAAAGGGAGGATAGAGAGCTTACAAAAAATGTATAAAATACTGAATTAATGGACAAAAAAAAAATCACATTGTTAAAGAGGTCTTATACTTAAGACGTAAAGGGACATTCTAAATACTTAGTTAGCTAATAGTTGTGCATTTATTTTCCAAAAACGTTTTTATTTGTACATTTTCAAAGCAGAAGATACAAATTGCCCCTCTGAGTCCCCTGGTCCCTTCTCACTGTTTCACAGTTACTTAGGTGATGCCTGCAATCTGGCCCTTCTTTATAGATATTGCTAAAGTTAAATTCCCCTTCTGCATTAGCCATATTAATTTTGTCTACCTATTGATGGATTAAATATTGCTAATTGGTAAAAAAAATAAAAAAATTCAAGGACCACTATAGGCACCCAGACCACTTCAGCTTAATGAAGTGGTCTGGGTGCCTGGTCCAACTAGGATTAACCCTTTTTTTTATAAACATAGCAGTTTCAGAGAAACTGCTATGTTTACAAATAGGTTAATCTAGCCTCTAAAGCCTCTAGTGGCTGTCTCATTGACAGCCGCTAGAGGCGTTTGCGTGCTTCTCACTGTGAAAATCCCAGTGAGAAGACGCAAGCGTTCATAGGAAAGCATTATGAATGCTTTCCTATGAGACTGGCTGAATGCGCGCGCAGCTCCTGCCGCGCATGCGCATTCAGCCGAAGAGGAGGCGGAGAGCTCCCCGCCCAGCGCTGGAGAAAGAGGTAAGTTTAACCCCTTCCTCTTCCCAGAGCCCGGCGGGAGGGGGTCCCTGAGGATTGGGGCACCCTCAGGGCACTATAGTGCCAGGAAAACAAGTATGTTTTCCTGGCACTATAGTGGTCCTTTAACTGGGGACACCAGCTAAGTGTCAAATCTTTTAAAAATTGTTTCAATCTTAAAAGTGGAAAGGCACCAAGGGACACTTGGCATCATAAACACTATAGGAGGCTGTAGTGGCTATGACGCTAAGAATATCTTTTAAAAACTGGATCTATATTTGTTATCCGTGGTCCATGATCCTGTAGAAATCTGGGAGTCACAATGGCATTTAAAAGGATACTATAATCACCAGATCAACTACAGCTTAATGCAGTGGTTCTGGTGTCTACAGCATGTCCCTGCGAACATTTTAATGTAAACACTGCCTTTTCAGATAATGGAGGAGCTGAACACAACGCATTAAGATGCATTGAGTCAATGCATCTCTATGAGGAGATGCGGATTGGCACAGCGCACTGTTTTGCTGTGCATGCGTAATAGCCTACCAATCCTTTTCTATTGGAAATCGTTGGATTGGCTAAGATCATCAAGTATGATGATCTCAGCCAAGGAGGCGGAGTCAGCTGCAGGTGTTGATATTACACTCTTTTTTGCACTTTCCTCTACACTTTTGCTTTTTGTTGACAGTGACTCATTCAGTTATGACAAAAGGGAGGATAGAGAGCTTACAAAAAATGTATAAAATACTGAATTAATGGACAAAAAAAAAATCACATTGTTAAAGAGGTCTTATACTTAAGACGTAAAGGGACATTCTAAATACTTAGTTAGCTAATAGTTGTGCATTTATTTTCCAAAAACGTTTTTATTTGTACATTTTCAAAGCAGAAGATACAAATTGCCCCTCTGAGTCCCCTGGTCCCTTCTCACTGTTTCACAGTTACTTAGGTGATGCCTGCAATCTGGCCCTTCTTTATAGATATTGCTAAAGTTAAATTCCCCTTCTGCATTAGCCATATTAATTTTGTCTACCTATTGATGGATTAAATATTGCTAATTGGTAAAAAAAATAAAAAAATTCAAGGACCACTATAGGCACCCAGACCACTTCAGCTTAATGAAGTGGTCTGGGTGCCTGGTCCAACTAGGATTAACCCTTTTTTTTATAAACATAGCAGTTTCAGAGAAACTGCTATGTTTACAAATAGGTTAATCTAGCCTCTAAAGCCTCTAGTGGCTGTCTCATTGACAGCCGCTAGAGGCGTTTGCGTGCTTCTCACTGTGAAAATCCCAGTGAGAAGACGCAAGCGTTCATAGGAAAGCATTATGAATGCTTTCCTATGAGACTGGCTGAATGCGCGCGCAGCTCCTGCCGCGCATGCGCATTCAGCCGAAGAGGAGGCGGAGAGCTCCCCGCCCAGCGCTGGAGAAAGAGGTAAGTTTAACCCCTTCCTCTTCCCAGAGCCCGGCGGGAGGGGGTCCCTGAGGATTGGGGCACCCTCAGGGCACTATAGTGCCAGGAAAACAAGTATGTTTTCCTGGCACTATAGTGGTCCTTTAACTGGGGACACCAGCTAAGTGTCAAATCTTTTAAAAATTGTTTCAATCTTAAAAGTGGAAAGGCACCAAGGGACACTTGGCATCATAAACACTATAGGAGGCTGTAGTGGCTATGACGCTAAGAATATCTTTTAAAAACTGGATCTATATTTGTTATCCGTGGTCCATGATCCTGTAGAAATCTGGGAGTCACAATGGCATTTAAAAGGATACTATAATCACCAGATCAACTACAGCTTAATGCAGTGGTTCTGGTGTCTACAGCATGTCCCTGCGAACATTTTAATGTAAACACTGCCTTTTCAGATAATGGAGGAGCTGAACACAACGCATTAAGATGCATTGAGTCAATGCATCTCTATGAGGAGATGCGGATTGGCACAGCGCACTGTTTTGCTGTGCATGCGTAATAGCCTACCAATCCTTTTCTATTGGAAATCGTTGGATTGGATAAGATCATCAAGTATGATGATCTCAGCCAAGGAGGCGGAGTCAGCTGCAACAGAGCCGCGCGGCGTTAAAATATAGGCACGTAAAATCACTTTTACTAAGCTGAACGTGGGCTGGGGGCCTAAACTGTGTTTTCACAGCTATACTGACAGAAATACAGGTTTGTATTCCTGTCACGATAGTGTTCTGTTATGAAAGGTAGTGTGCAATTTCCCAGAAATAGTGAACTCCTATTACACTTCAACATAGAAAATGTTTCAATACTGTTTATTGGAGCAAGGAAAGAAGTACCTGTCACGAACAATAAATAATAATGTTTCTAACATTTCTCAGTTCTCGTGTGACCAAAATATTTTTTGGCTACTTGTGTTTATAAACTGAAACTCACAGCCTTAATTTTTCCTTCAGCTTGATTTTAACGGGTAACTCCAACCTCCAACTACAAAATGTAGATCACACACACACCTAATTAACAGTGCCTAATAAGACGCTTTTAAAAGAAACTCACCCCTCCCTAAAAATTTGGGAGCAGGCAAATTAAATTAGTGAAAATAGCATCAGTTAAAAAACAATATCGTTTTTTTCCAAGTTGACACATGCATGAGAACATTAACGTTTATGTACCAGCTCTCACTGGTTGTATAGGAGTGAAAACAACTCTTTTGCTCCAGATTAAAGCCCAGCATTATGTATTTACTGGATAGACAGCCTTCATGGACAGCTATAGGAAGTGTCCCATTCCCAGCATTATGTATTTACTGGATAGACAGCCTTCATGGACAGCTATAGGAAGTGTCCCATTCCCAGCATTATGTATTTACTGGATAGACAGCCTTCATGGACAGCTATAGGAAGTGTCCCATTCCCAGCATTATGTATTTACTGGATAGACAGCCTTGATGGACAGCTATAGGAAGTGTCCCATTCCCAGCATTATGTATTTACTGTATAGATAGCCTTCATGGACAGCTATAGGAAGTGTCCCATTCCCAGCATTATGTATTTACTGGATAGACAGCCTTCATGGACAGCTATAGGAAGTGTCCCATTCCCAGCATTATGTATTTACTGGATAAACAGCCTTGATGGACAGCTATAGGAAGTGTCCCATTCCCAGCATTATGTATTTACTGTATAGACAGCCTTCATGGACAGCTATAGGAAGTGTCCCATTCCCAGCATTATGTATTTACTGGACAGACAGCCTTCATGGACAGCTATAGGAAGTGTCCCATTCCCAGCATTATGTATTTACTGGATAGACAGCCTTCATGGACAGCTATAGGAAGTGTCCCATTCCCAGCATTATGTATTTACTGTATAGACAGCAATAGGAAGTGTCCCATTCCCAGCATTATGTATTTACTGGATAGACAGCCTTCATGGACAGCTATAGGAAGTGTCCCATTCCCAGCATTATGTATTTACTGGATAGACAGCCTTCATGGACAGCTATAGGAAGTGTCCCATTCCCAGCATTATGTATTTACTGGATAGACAGCCTTCATGGACAGCTATAGGAAGTGTCCCATTCCCAGCATTATGTATTTACTGTATAGACAGCCTTCATGGACAGCTATAGGAAGTGTCCCATTCCCAGCATTATGTATTTACTGGATAGACAGCCTTCATGGACAGCTATAGGAAGTGTCCCATTCCCAGCATTATGTATTTACTGAATAAACAGCCTTCATGGACAGCTATAGGAAGTGTCCCATTCCTAGCATTATGTATTTACTGAATAAACAGCCTTCATGGACAGCTATAGGAAGTGTCCCATTCCCAGCATTATGTATTTACTGTATAGACAGCCTTCATGGACAGCTATAGGAAGTGTCCCATTCCCAGCATTATGTATTTACTGTATAGACAGCCTTCATGGACAGCTATAGGAAGTGTCCCATTCCCAGCATTATGTATTTACTGTATAGACAGCCTTCATGGACAGCTATAGGAAGTGTCCCATTCCCAGCATTATGTATTTACTGGATAGACAGCCTTCATGGACAGCTATAGGAAGTGTCCCATTCCCAGCATTATGTATTTACTGTATAGACAGCCTTCATGGACAGCTATAGGAAGTGTCCCATTCCCAGCATTATGTATTTACTGTATAGACAGCAATAGGAAGTGTCCCATTCCCAGCATTATGTATTTACTGTATAGACATCCTTCATGGACAGCTATAGGAAGTATCCCATTCCCAGCATTATGTATTTACTGTATAGACAGCCTTCATGGACAGAAGTGTCCCATTCCCAGCATTATGTATTTACTGGATAGACAGCCTTCATGGACAGCTATAGGAAGTGTCCCATTCCCAGCATTATGTATTTACTGGATAGACAGCCTTCATGGACAGCTATAGGAAGTGTCCCATTCCCAGCATTATGTATTTACTGTATAGACAGCCTTCATGGAGCGCTATAGAAAGTGTCCCATTCCCAGCATTATGTATTTACTGGATAGACAGCCTTCGTGGACAGCTATAGGAAGTGTCCCATTCCCAGCATTATGTATTTACTGTATAGACAGCCTTCGTGGACAGCTATAGGAAGTGTCCCATTCCCAGCATTATGTATTTACTGTATAGACAGCCTTCGTGGACAGCTATAGGAAGTGTCCCATTCCAAGCATTACGTATTTACTGTATAGACAGCCTTCATGGACAGCTATAGGAAGTGTCCCATTCCCAGCATTACGTATTTACTGTATAGACAGCCTTCATGGACAGCTATAGGAAGTGTCCCATTCCCAGCATTACGTATTTACTGTATAAACAGCCTTCATGGACAGCTATAGGAAGTGTCCCATTCCCAGCATTACGTATTTACTGTATAGACAGCCTTCATGGACAGCTATAGGAAGTGTCCCATTCCCAGCATTACGTATTTACTGAATAAACAGCCTTCATGGACAGCTATAGGAATTGTCCCATTCCCAGCATTACGTATTTACTGAATAAACAGCCTTCATGGACAGCTATAGGAAGTGTCCCATTCCCAGCATTATGTATTTACTGTATAGACAGCCTTCATGGACAGCTATAGGAAGTGTCCCATTCCCAGCATTATGTATTTACTGTATAGACAGCCTTCATGGACAGCTATAGGAAGTGTCCCATTCCCAGCATTACGTATTTACTGTATAGACAGCCTTCATGGACAGCTATAGGAAGTGTCCCATTCCCAGCATTATGTATTTACTGTATAGACAGCCTTCATGGACAGCTATAGGAAGTGTCCCATTCCCAGCATTATGTATTTACTGGATAGACAGCCTTCATGGACAGCTATAGGAAGTGTCCCATTCCCAGCATTGTGTATTTACTGTATAGACAGCCTTCATGGACAGCTATAGGAAGTGTCCCATTCCCAGCATTATGTATTTACTGTATAGACAGCCTTCATGGACAGCTATAGGAAGTGTCCCATTCCCAGCATTATGTATTTACTGTATAGACAGCCTTCGTGGACAGCTATAGGAAGTGTCCCATTCCAAGCATTACGTATTTACTGTATAGACAGCCTTCATGGACAGCTATAGGAAGTGTCCCATTCCCAGCATTATGTATTTACTGTATAGACAGCCTTCATGGACAGCTATAGGAAGTGTCCCATTCCCAGCATTATGTATTTACTGTATAGACAGCAATAGGAAGTGTCCCATTCCCAGCATTATGTATTTACTGTATAGACAGCCTTCGTGGACAGAAGTGTCCCATTCCCAGCATTATGTATTTACTGTATAGACAGCCTTCATGGACAGCTATAGGAAGTGTCCCATTCCCAGCATTATGTATTTACTGGATAGACAGCCTTCATGGACAGCTATAGGAAGTGTCCCATTCCCAGCATTATGTATTTACTGTATAGACAGCCTTCGTGGACAGCTATAGGAAGTGTCCCATTCCCAGCATTATGTATTTACTGGATAGACAGCCTTCGTGGACAGCTATAGGAAGTGTCCCATTCCCTGAAAGCTAATATGTATTTACTTGATAGGACAGCTTCTGGATTGAAGCTATGGAGAAGTGCGGTCCCATCTCTAGCATTATGTATTTACTGGATAGACAGCCTTCATGGACAGCTATAGGAAGTGTCCCATTCCCAGCATTATGTATTTACTGTATAGACAGCCTTCGTGGACAGCTATAGGAAGTGTCCCATTCCCAGCATTATGTATTTACTGGATAGACAGCCTTCGTGGACAGCTATAGGAAGTGTCCCATTCCCAGCATTATGTATTTACTGGATAGACAGCCTTCGTGGACAGCTATAGGAAGTGTCCCATTCCCAGCATTATGTATTTACTGGATAGACAGCCTTCATGGAGCGCTATAGAAAGTGTCCCATTCCCAGCATTATGTATTTACTGGATAGACAGCCTTCGTGGACAGCTATAGGAAGTGTCCCATTCCCAGCATTATGTATTTACTGGATAGACAGCCTTCATGGACCGCTATAGAAAGTGTCCCATTCCCAGCATTATGTATTTACTGGATAGACAGCCTTCGTGGACAGCTATAGGAAGTGTCCCATTCCCAGCATTGTGTATTTACTGGATAGACAGCCTTCATGGACAGCTATAGGAAGTGTCCCATTCCCAGCATTGTGTATTTACTGGATAGACAGCCTTCATGGACAGCTATAGGAAGTGTCCCATTCCCAGCATGTGTCAGGTAACATCAGACACGCTTCTGACTTGTATAGAAAGTGAAAGCAGCTTAGTAACCAGGACATTTATATTTCTTCCCCTTTTCGTAACAGCCCTGGACAGACACCGTGAATTCCCAGCTCTCCCTGACCACCGACACCAGCACAATGCCCAACTCACCCGAACTCAAGCAATAAAGACACGGGCGCCGCCATGTTGCTTTCTCCGACGGAAGCGAGGCGGCCAAGTACCGGAAGTACCGTGCCTGTCAGTTGCCATGGTGACGGTGCGTGTCAGTTGCCGTGGTGACAGAGCCTGTCAGTTGCCGTGGTGACAGGGATGCTCTAGTAAAGGGTGCTTCCTTTTCGACAAACTTTTCGAATAAACTCATATGTAAAACGTCAACACTCAGTTTTACCAGCAAAATGCTCTATGTTTAGGTTTCTTTTATAAAAGTGGAAATAGAATTAGCCCTTTTTATAAATGACTGAAAGTTAAAGACACAGTTTTTCAGTTGTGTGAACAGCTGAGATTTATTGTCACTGTTTATTCACTAAACACTGCATTGTAGAATGTAGGTGACAATAGCTGATATGTAAAAAAAATTAAATATATATATATATATATATATATATCAAATACAGTGACTATTTGCCAAGTTGGTCATCAAGTTTCAAAATCAGTTTTTAAATCACAAAAAAATAAAATCACTGTTTTGCAAATAAGCTCTGATTTATTCTAAAAAAAAAAAAGAAAGAAAAACGACAACAACAAAAAACACCCACTTCGTTGACGTTTAACCTAAAGGTATATATAAGGTATAGCCAAATTACAAAAATTCTCTAACTCGGCTACATACCCCAGATCTTCCCTGTTATCTACCCTCCACTATTTTTGGCATTTTAAACCTAACCTTTCCTGATATCTGCCCTCCATTATTTTGGTATTTTGATCCTAACCTAACCAGGTCAGATATATACTGCTTTATAATGGGTATTAAAACACGGCTACTTCACTGTGGAACAGCAATAAGGAAGCACTCCCAAGTTTCCTCTAAAAACAGATTGCTCTGGCAATTTACAGCAAATGTTATTTTGTTTACTTTTAGAAAATTAACTTTCATCTATTTCTACTGTCACTCCTGGTCCTCCTATCAACAAAGGATTCCATAACAAAGCAGTTGTACAAACCACTCTTCTAATTATTCCAGCCCACACAAGTGTTCTTGTTTATATGCAATTCATGCTCACAAAAATAGATTGTTGTGTACTTGTGAGTCCATAAATACACAAAAATTATAGCGGTTTTGAAGTCTAATTTAGGAGCTGTGAACCACATTTTAGAACATAGAAGTATACCACCTAATAATTGGGAGGTACTGAATGAGATGTCGCCAGTGACCCAGCCTCAAAAGGGGCTGGAAAAGCCTGCTTACTTAAGGGGTGTGAAGTCTGTAAAGCTGTCCCCTCACTGACAGAACCATGCAGAGAACGCTCTTGAAGCGCTCTTTGCATGGTCCTAAGTGTCCGCTGCCTAGTGCAAGTGTGCCTAATGATTTGCTTGCTCAGTACTGTCCAGGGGACACGAGGGAACTAAAGCGTGGTGATGAGAGAAGACTGTGAAATTAGGATTGTCCAGTCAAAAGCAGGACTGTTGGGCACTGTTCCCTCTTAGGTGTGTGTGCGCCAACCCATTTTGCCTATAGCGCACAACCAAATTATGTGCGCACAGGCTGTGATGGTAATGTCAATACATCCCACGGGAATACAGCCAAGAAGCACAGAGCCGCGCAGCTTGCCTAAGGGAGCAGACTCTGAGACTCATTATCACTCTAAGAGCACCCAGACCACTTCAGCTTAATGAAGTGGTCTGGGTGCCAGGTCCAGCTAGGGTTAACCCTTTATTTTATAAACATAGCAGTTTCAGAGAATGCTTTCTTATGGACTGGCTGAATGCGCGCGCGGCTCCTGCCGCGCATGCGTATTCAGCCAAAGAGGAGGAGAAGAAGGAGGAGAGCTCCCCCACCCGGCACTGGAGAAAGAGGTAAGTTTAACCCCTTCCTCTCCCCAGAGACCGGCGGGAGGGGGACCCTGAGGGTGCTCCCACCCTCAGGGCACTATAGTGCCAGGAAAACGAGTATGTTTTCCTGGCACTATAGTGGTCCTTTAAGAGTGCAGCTGAGAATCATACATACAAGCGGCACGCTTAAATTAGAAGACTAAGGGCGCTTATTACTCAGAGTAATGATCACCAGGCCCTGCAACAGACTCATCATCAGGTAGACTCAGAGTCGGAGTCATCACTCCAGGTAATTAAGGCAAAGTAAATGTGGGCAACGTGGCATGGATGTGGCTGTGTGCATAAAAAATGTGCCATGAGAGCATAATAAAATGGAGGCAAACTGAAATATATGTAGGCATTTTGGCATGGATGTGGGCATATTAAAATGGGGGTTCAGTTTGAATTCTCACTTTACTAAATAACCCTGTATGTATAACTAACTGAAACTTGAACTACACATTGCACCAAACGTGTGGATGGCTAGAATGAACCATCCCAATCTGTGCATTAAAAAACTTTTCCCAATGTCACTAGCTAACAATTTCTCCCAACATTTAAAATGGACAAAGAGAGACACACTTTAATTTGGTGTGAATGGGAGTGTGGTCAGGGGCACGGTTGTTCTGAGAAATGTTAGGTGACTTACTAATAACAATTTTAGCAACTAAAATGTAATTTAGAACAAGAACAATGCATCTTATTTACACAGACTGATTTCTAAACACATTTATTGTAGTTTAAAGAAACACTATAATGTCAGGACACAAAAATGTTTCTGACACTATAGTGTTAAACCCACTATTTAGGTCCCTGGCCACACTGTCAGAGCAGTAAAAAGGTGTTTAAACTCACCTTTTTCCCACACCACACTGGTCTCACTGCGGCTCACCCGGCCTCCATGGCTGAGATGATCAAACTTGATCATCTCAGCCAATCCAATGCATTCCTATGGGAAAGCAATGGGAGGATATTGCGGATGCACTTAAAAATGCTGCACCAATCAGCATCTTCTCATAGAGATGCATTCAATAATGCATCGCTGTGGGGAACGTTCAGCGCCTTCATGCAGAGTGGTTAGAGACTCTAAATGTAGGTGCTGCACACTCTCTGAGTGACTGCCACTAGAGACGTTACTAGGCAGCAGTATAAACACTGCCTTTTTTCTCTGAAGCCTGCAGGGACATGCTATTGACACGAGAACAACTACATTTAGCTGTAGTTGTTCTGGTGACTGTAGTGTCCCTTTTTAAGACACATCACCGGGAGTTTTATTGCTGTGGAGCTCTGTTATACGTTCAGGTACACCAAAAAGATGGAGCTACTAGAAAAAAGGGACAGGGGGATTTGGGCCCAAAATAGGGTCTGTCCCTCTTAAATGGGGGACACTGTAAGGCACCGTTTCCCAGTGGGTTCCACGGAACACTAATTGGTGTTCCGCCCAAAAATAAAATGGCCGCGGGCGGCGAGGGAGCAGTGAGCAGTGATCTCCCTGCTCAGCTCAGCTTTTGTGTTTGTCAGTGAGAGTGAATGTGTGCTTGTCAGTGAGTGTATGTGTTTGTCAGGGAGAATGTATCTGTTCTTGTCAATGAGAGAGTATATGTATTTGTATGTGTGTCTGTCAAAGAGTGTGTGTGTTTGTCAGTGAGAGTGTACGTGTGTCTGTCAAAGAGTGTGTGTTTGTCAGTGAGAGTGTATGTGTGTCTGTCAAAGAGTGTGTGTTTGTCAGTGAGAGTGTATGTGTGTCTGTCAAAGAGTGTGTGTGTGTCAGTGTGTGTGTATGTGTCACTGTGTGTATCTAAGTGTGTGTGTGTATGTGCCAGTATGTATCAGTGTGTTTGTATGTGCCTGTGTGTGTGTGTGCCTGTGTGTGTGTGTATCTGAGTGTCTCAGTGTGTATCTGTGGGTGCAAGTGTGAGTATGTCACTGTGTGTATCTGAGTGTGTGTGTGTGTATGTGTGAGTCAAGATATGTGTGTATCTGAGTGTGTGTATCTGTGTGCCAGTGTGTGTGTATATCTGTGTGTCAGATACATATACACACTGTCACAGAGATACACACACTGGCACATACAAACACAGATATACACATCTTGACACACAGATACATACATACACACACACACAGATACACACTGTGTGTCAAGGTGTGTGTATCTGTGTGCCACTATCTGCCAGTGTGTGTATCTGTGTGTCAGATTCATCCACACTGGCACATACAAACACAGATAAACACACCTTGATACACAGACACATACAAACACAGATATACACACTTTTAAACATAGATACACGCACCTTGACACACAGATACATACATACACACACACACAGATACACACTGTGTGTCAAGGTGTGGGTATCTGTCAGTGTGTGTGTCTGTGTGCCACCAGAGGCAGCTCTCTAATTAGGCGGTTTAGGTGGCCGCCTAAGGCCTCGTGGCCGCCTAAACCATGTGTGGGCAGACTGTGTCAGGTCCTCGGTAAGTGACCAAGGACCTGACACCAGGAGGGGGCCCGGCGGCTTGCCAGGTATGCCACTGGGTGCAAGGCCCCTCCTGGCTGCCAGGCCAGCCACCGCAGACACCGGTCTGCAGCTCCGCAGTGAGCAGAGCTGCAGACCATGTGTCTCGCGAGAATTGGCCAATCAGAGCATTGCCGCGGGTTACCACGGCAACACTCTGATGGTCTTGCGAGATTACATGTTCTGCAGCTCTGCGGAGCTGCAGACCGGAAGCAATGGCCACCGGACCACCACGGAGCCCACTGGACCACCAGGGAAGAAAAGGTAGGTTCTCTCTCACCCCCTCTCACCATCACCCCCCAACACCCTCAGCCTCACACCCTCCAACCCCTCCACACCACCCTCAGCCTCACCACCCCTCCCAGCATCACCCCCCACTCCCTCAGCATCACCCCACCACCACCCTCAGCATCACCCTCCCCCCCCTCAGCCCACCCCCCACCACCGACAGCCTCCCCCACCACCCTCAGCCTCACCACCCCACCACCCCTCAGCATCACCCCCTCACCAACCTCAGCATCACCCTCCTTACCCCCTCAGTATCACCCCCACCCCCCTCAGCCTCACCACTCCAGCACCCTCAGCATCACCCCCCTCACCACCCTCAGCATCACCCTCCCTCACAACCCTCAGCATCACCCTCCCTCACAACCCTCAGCATCACAACCCTCAGCAATGTACTCCACTA